AACTTGAAGATTACAATTTTTATAACAGAGTTTTTAAGCACTGAATGTACCTTTTTTAGGTCAATTCTAGGAAAGGTTGTTCAAAACCGTCAAAAAAACCTGAAAAAATTGCACCGATAAAGAAACTGACAGAAAAGTATTTTTATTCCGAAAGTTTTCGAAAATGAGATATTATGTTTTCTGGATGTTATATGACATGCACATCGCGAAAGACCCGTGTTACTCATTTTCGTCGGTACCTGTCAGTTTGTCTGTCGGTCTTTCCGAAGGTCCCATAACCGCTTATAACTTGAGAAGCAACGCTAGGATTTCGATGGTGTTTTTACACAAATTTAGCACTACGTCAAAGACGCAAAAGGTTTGTGATCCAGTCAAAATATAAATTAGGTTTGCAAATATTTCCACAAAGCTGAAAATTATTACAGACCTAGAATGCACCGTATCACAACTCCTCATACATCCTTGGAGCGGAACTTCAATTTATTCGTCAAAAATATCCAGTTTCGTCATATTTTCCTAAAAAGGAAAGATATACCACAGAAATACCTTAGACATTCCCTGTTTTTGAGACATAACGATATACCTCTTATACAGCAACAGAACGCGAAAATGCTTGGAAATTGAAAAAAGAAGGTACATAATAGTATTGATCCGTACCGTCCACGCACATCGTGGTCTGCTCAAAATGCGCATTTGAATTAATGTATATTATAGTACAAAAAACGATTTCAAAAGAAGTTAACCTCAATATGCAAGTATCACATTATTTTATAGAAAGTGGTGATCATGCATTTAAAAAAAAACTTTTACTTCGAGCTCTACCATCCGCTTGCAACTCCAGTTGCATATAGTTTTATTGTTGACAACGTGATGGTACTGGGAGTGCATTTTGTATCAACACAGGGGAAGGGAATGTAAAACGGCACACTTAAGGAAAAAAAATCATAGTTACAACAGTCTTATTCATGAAACTGTCTCATAAAACTAAAAAGTATTTCGTATTCTACCGAATAAATTGTTTAGACTTCAAACAAAACATACGAATGACAATATATTTGATGATTGCCAATAATTTGGTTTTGTTCGTTCTGCCTACATGTGAAGGTATAACGGACTGCCATTCAAGGCAAAATAAAACTAAGACTCAAATGTTTCACAAATGAATTTAGGGTCTTGGTTTTCATCGTCAACACCAGCGCAATTACAGTGTGCCCACATGTTGCATATTTGACATTATATCCAACCTTCGTTGCGAGCAATAAAAACACTGTGCATCATCATTTTCTTCATCTGAAGAATCTTTTTTTCCCTTTGCATTTTCCCTTAGCTCTGCCCTTGTCTTTGCTTCTCTTGAATTTTTGCTTTGTATCCTCCAAAGCTATTTTTGTTTTGATCTGATTCACTTTAGTGTTTTGTGTTGCCTCAGCTAGCTCTTTACGGTAGGGGAATAAAGTCAACTGTCTTACTCGGTTTAACATTAATCTCTTCGTTTTTGATGTTTTGGTAATGGCATTATGCCTTTAGGACTAACAATGAACAGTAATTAATATGAACACATGAAGCTAGTGATTTGAGAGTCTAGATAAAGGTGTCACCTAAATGAAGTTCCCGTTTTTTAGATGAAAACGTCAAAAAACCATTTATCTTGATAAAATTGTATTCCTGCGCATTGAAGGTACAGAAGCACTCGTCAAAAATACACTTTTGGAATGAAAAAAGATATCTCGTGACTCTTACAAAAAAATCACTTGAATATGCTGGTTGCTACCCGTACAATATGTTACCTTCAGACATAAACATGTATCTATAACAAAAAATGTATGTCAACGTTAAAATGGTTTCTTGTTACAAAACGTTTTTGCAGCTTATGCGGGTCCCACACGATGCGTTCGACGTTGTATCTAACGTTATATACAACGTTGTTTACAACGTTATGTACAACGTTGTTTACAACGTTCGACACACCGCAACCGGCAAGTGCATCTCCTACACGATGGGATGAACTTTTTAGTCTCGGACGTTCGACGCATGGTGGCGCCAACATCTATTATCGGTGTCAGTGCCGCGCTTGAACCTTTACAACTAAAGGAAAAGTTATACAAAATGAACGATGAAACAATATTTTCGAATGCCGAAAAATAATTTTAGATCTGTCTGCAGCTTACCAGATCAGTTGCGTAAACCTCCTTTTAATTTTAATAACGGAAATAACTACACACGATTAAAAATACAATAAACCTTGGAGGTTACAGTGCCAGAAGGAAAACTGGGATGTCCGAATGTTCTTCGCTGAACAGGGAGCAGTCGATTAACCCCAATCGTATTCACACTATTTTAAACTCGTCTCCTATTTCCCCATGAACGATCAGCTTCATATACACATCTTCCAGCAGAATGCTTGGCATAGAAGAGCAGGATGTTATTTTCGCTACACCGTGTGCGGCAAAATCACAAGAATATCCTGTCAAAGCAGGAAAATATCCCGATTAAAGTCCTTTGAGCAACCCGATGACGGCGGCTGCGAATTTCGCATCTGTCTGTTCATTCCGCACATTCAACTAACCAAAGCACAGACAGCTTTCAACCAGTATATATGATTGAGCTTAAACTAGATTCAAGCTTGATTTTGCATGATGTCGTTGTGGATTTTGGTGTGCGACTGTGAATGTCGAACAGAGCCGAGTCTTTGATTTGCTCTTTATGTTGGAAATCAGGGCAGCATTTGTGGTGTAAGACAAATTAAGCCTCACTTTGGCACCTTATGACAGACGTATTTTTGGAACATAAGTAGTCCTCCACTCCTTACTTTGATCGTCCAGCAAATCATGATAAAACTCAATAGAATCGATTAGTAACATATTTATTTCCATCCATAGTGAGTAAAAATTTAAGTTCAAAACCGAGCAAAAATGTTGTTCTCTCGTTAGGTCACTTTGACCTTTATTGATTCTATATTGATATTAGTAAGATTATCTGAGTTTGAACTAATAATCTGTGGGGCCTCGGTGCTGCTGGAAAGTATTACTAGTATAATATTTTGACTAACTGTTATCCCTATATTACCAGTACATACATCTACAAATGCTTTCTTCAGTAGGCTTAATATTACTCTTAATTTTCACCTAATTAATTATCTACTTATTATAGAATAATGATCTCAGACCCTCCAAAATAGACTTAAGCTGATTCCATTGTTGCCTGTCCCAGCTCTCAGATCAAAACTAGACTTGACCTTGACTCTTTTCAAGTCCTTCATATGCTGGTAGAAATCAGAGCAATGTCTAGCAGTATCAGCATTATAGTGGTAAGTGATATATGTTTCGTCCTGTCGATCTTCTTCTAAGCAAGAGGCTGTATTGCCGACATTTTTAACGATGGCTTATTACTTTATTGGCTCGTTACCCAGGTTCTCATAGTTTTCTATTTGTTGGCTATAGAAGTTTCGCGATGTGATATACTTAGTACTTCGAGACTTTTTCACCATTATTAATGCCATCAAATTCCTACTTTCCCCTTAACCTACACATTATTATTGTAAACAACTAATGCTAACGAGAGCTACCATTACAATGCACCTGCACACAACGCGGCATAGCCTCACTGCACATAATATACCTATTCTGATATTGCAGCAGCAGTGTTTCAGCTACAGGATATAATAACAAATAAAATTTAACTGCTTGCATTACAGACTGTGTGTATAGGAAGGTATCGCTTTAAGTAAAAGGTTGATTCCACTGCTCATCATTGTAGGTCAGAGCGATGCGTCGGACATCTGTTGTTGGATGAAGGTTTTTTTAGGATTGTTATGGCGGCACGGGTATTACGTATCTTGAAATGTCACATCCGTCGGTTTTTTTTTCATGCAAAATACAAAAAAATCCCTATATTTCAGTAGGTATGTATCTATAATGATAATATATAAGTACTCAATATATTGAACTTAACAAATTCGAGATTGCCATGCATTAATAAACGTCCAAACCTGCTATTAAATTTAACAGCTAGAAAATCGACCTATTATTTGGCGTATTCCCATTGGCCAAAGGGATAACCGATGTTTTATATGTACATTCATAAGAAAAATCAAAATACATGAAAGTTGTCCTGTTTTCTCTAAACAAAAGCATCATGTCGGAATCAAAAACTGCTATTGTTTATAGAACAATCGCTTTTTCACGACTTATTCAATAATTCAATAGAAATCATTGGTATTCGGATAGCCTTGACAGCTTCCGTCAAATTGCATTTCGGTGAGGTCTTCTCACATTGGTCCAAGCTGACGGTCAAATATTAATGATGGTGAAATTGGCTCTTAAAGTGTTAGTGGTCAATTGTTGTATATTACGATGCTCACGTGTCGAAATAGTGATTCAAGAACTGCCCAAAAATATTCCAACCTACTCTCTATATGAAAATAGTAAAGTAATTTGTTAGTGTTACCTGGAAACTCTCTTGACATCTCGATATCCTTATAGATTTTGGAGTGCTCTTTCCAAATTTTTATTTCACTACCTGGCATAAAATAAACACTACAATTGTTAGGAATCTACAAAGTACAAGTAATCTGTCGTGTCTACAACCATTCTCATTCCAGTAACAGTTCAATTGTAGTTAACCGTACATACAGGGTGTTCCAGCCGTGCTCCTAACCAAGAATTTCAAAGAAAACTATTCATGGGCTACAATATACGGTATCTGGATGCTCATTTCTTAAATATGAAATTTTATACAGAGTGAGATAATTTTCCCAAACATATCGACGTTGATTATTTTTAATGGAAGTGGTAGAAGCGGTGAGAAGGCGAACCCTGGAAACTAGGCCACCTTTGACCCTTTTTATTGACCCCGCAGAGACAACCCTGCAGTACCCCACGAGCCATCTACTAGTAGCTGATATAATAAACCAAATCCAGCGACGAGATTTACCTATCGACAATACTGCACCCTTTGTGTGATATAAACAACACACAACACATCATCTATGCCACGAAGTCAACTTCTGAGGTGGAGATTTGAACCCGCGAGCCCCGGGTTGCTAGCTCGACGCGCTATCCATTAAGCTACCGACGCTTCCTTTTCTAATGGATAGGCTCGTTTGAAAGAAGAAGTTTCATATAACGTTCTCATGAGTATTGATTATTAGTTGCTGAGCTATTGGGTATGTAATATAAACAACGCCAAAGTTTGAATAGCATATCTGCTCGCTTGACAGGTAGAGTGCCGAATTCTCTGCTAGAAAATTATTTCTATTGTACTCGGTATTAACCTAATTTGTCCATTATATGAATTCTTCGATTGATCAATACAGAATGGTCGAAAACACAAACCGAGTTAAATGCACATTTCAACTTCTTTGTATTCCACTTTTCACAAATTTCACCCTTTTCAGTTATAGTCGGTTCTTTATTAAATAGGCTCGGCAATCGTATAACAATAAGGATATAAAAATATATCACCCATTCTTTTTCTATACTTGAACCACCACGAGGGCCTAAGTCCAAAACACTCATGAGGAGCTCGTAACGATATAGATATATGTGTATATCCTTTACCATACAAAATATAGCACATCTCATTTTTATTATAAAATCCATTTTTCAATGCTCAATTTCATCACAACAACATGAACTTGGTTTGATTCCAGAAAACGATCAAGTTCTAATAAATGTTCAGTGTTAATTATAAATATGTTATTTACCTTTTGTTTTTAAGGATAACGGAATTCTTGTTAGTCTGTGTAATTTACGAACAATTCCAAAAAAGCTTTATTGGTGAACTAACATCGTTGACATTTACATCAGTGTAAAGCTTGATGAAAGTAGAATTGTAGAATGTTAAAATGTACAGGGTATTCCAAAGGTACCCCTCACTTTTAAAAACTTCTGATTAATCACCGAAAAAATTAAAAGCATGGATCAATTAGATCAAAATTAATGGCAGATATGTATGTGGTTAAGCTTTGGTGCTTTTTGTTTGAAATATCCAAATAGCTCAATATCTAATAAGTAAATCCTATGAGTATGTTATGTGATGAGATTGTGTTTCATCATTAACCGGAAGGATAGTACTCTCAAATAAAAAAAAACCGTTTGGAAAAATAAGTCTGATTTTTCATTTTAACCATCGAATTAAAAATTAACCAACAAATGGATCACCCTTTATAATATGTGTATAGTAAGCAAGATAGTTTTCTTTGGAAAGTTTTGTTTAGGAGCAATTGCACAATTGCAACGCTGTATAAGAGTTTCCTCCACAATTACTGGTATTGCACAGGTAATTACAAGAGATGTGCTATGAAATAACTACAGGTGTAGACCAAATTTTCACAATAGTAAAACTTGTAGCGTCTCTGCTGCAGGGCCCTGGCATCTTTTCCAGTTTCGCCGCCATATTGAAGAAATGGCGTTGAGTAGGTTAACTCTGGACTTCCTAGCGCAACGTTGTATCAGTTCATGGAGGAAAAAGTTTGGCACAAGTTTGTCCATCTAGGTAAAAGTTAGCTACAAACATATACAATGAAGAAAAATCGACTAGTTCTCACCAATTCGATAACGCTAGAAATTTGCCTGCCCAATCGAGCCAGAGATGCCAATGCAGCACACAGTGGTTCAGAAGTCCAAAGACATGACCCAAGCTAGAAAGATCCACTAGGTTTCATCAAAAAATTTAATTCACATATTTTCAAGGTCGCTGATAATGAATATGCTATCCGTCTGTGAAAAATAAAAATGACGGATCCAATCTAGCGGACATGTTTGAAAGAAATGTTTCGGTTACGGTCAAGCTTTGTATGGTTTTGAGGTCGCTGGCAATAAATTGGTATATGTATTTTTTCGCCATTAAAATGGCGGATCGAATATGGTGAAAAAAATGTCTGCAAAAAATATTCCACTTGCTCTCGAATTTGAGTTTTGTAAGGATCACAGAAAACGGATTTGGTATCGATTCTTCAAAAATCAAAATCGCGGAGTCTGTGTGTAGTGGACATATATGCGAAAAATATTTATTTGCGATACATTTTGAGTGCTATGTTCTGAAAGTAATTTTCCAATTATTGTATACTATCGCAGCTGCAGGCAGCTTTGTCATATTTTTAACCAGATGCAAATCCACTATGAATTACAGGAAAAATTATCAATCAGACATTGCTGTCGTATCGTTTCTTGTAACGATTGGCAGGTAGTACAATGCCATATCATAATTATGTACACCTTCTACTCTGCAATATATTTTGCCACAGCTCAACGCAGCTTGTTTTTGAAACGTAGCACTATTCGGTTATACACTTTTTAGACACGAGCGTCTTTGTCATGTTAACGTTTGGTGTGACAGAGATTTACTTCACTATAATTCGGCGAAGCAGCTTTTGGAAACAAGCTTTAGGGCCAACGTATGGGAAGATTTATGTGAGGAGTATGTTCTAATACGTGCATCAAATTACTCAGTTGGGAAACGTATCGCAAAAAACACCACACCAGAATCTATGAGGACATCAACTTTTTAAACCGTCAAGATGGGCTATATGTTTATATGACAGTATTTTTCACCGAAATCACGTAAATTTAATTTAGGGTGGATTTTGACTGCCAATGCCTACCAAAGTCACAAACCAGGCGTGTATTCATTTCTCTATAATTGTACCGTATCGCACTTTTGGTTTAAAACCAGTCGTATCCCAACTCCTCCTGCCTAGTCCGAACTCCTCGTGCTGCATCTTCTGTGTATAAGCTAAAATCTTTCTCGTAGTTTCGTCTTTATTGTCATGCAATGTCAATTGCAGCTTGATCGATTTTGCAGATTACCGTTTTATTTGATCCAACCTATAAATTCGGACTTAGGTTTGCGTTCAGGGATGCTGCAGCACCACAGGAAAGCTTAGCGATATTTGTCTCCTCGTCAAGGGATATAAGTCATCCCCGAAGTTGTATTTGTCTGAATTCCTAAGCGAGTTTTTCTCCATCGGACCATATTTCTCGTTACGTCCGCCGTCTGGGAATGTTGAAAAAGTTGCAGTTCGGCGAAGGCAAAAAGTTGGAATGGAATCGCAATGCGCCAACAAAGAAAAAATTGGTTTATGTTCCAGACGGCAGCCCACGAACAGCCAGAGTCACAAAAATAACAGTGTTTTCCATTACGAGGCACTGAACAAGTGACTTTCATTGAATTTTACGACGGAGATTATTGTTTGGATTTTTGTGAGCACTATATTGGAATCCAAGATGGCTAACGCTTATCATAATTTATGTATATCGCTGACAGACACAGTTGGATTCCGATATTCCGAATATCTAATATAAATCTTATTGTTATTAATTTGTCATCTGGCTCCAGTACGTTATAACATTTTTTTGTTCATACCTTGGATAAACTTTATCGGAAAATAAGTGCATCATTATTTATGACATTATGATTTTTGAATTCAATTTTGATAAATCGGCTTACCTCTATGTGCAAAACATTGATCTAGTGCGTATTGGATATCATTTTTGAATCTTACACATGCTAGGATCGTGAACCATCTGTTTCAAATTAGTGAAATTGTTAAATTTCAACATTTTGTGGCGCGTGCCCGTTATAATTACGAGTACTATTTCACTGTTTAATTTTTCACTTTGACACGGAGTCAGTCATTTCACACAGTCAACCCGTCCCTAGTTAGTTGGGTATTAGAGTTTGCTTAGGTAGAAAACAGACGGAGCGACTTTCGTCGACTCGACCGTCGAGTCGACGGTCGAAAAAATTGTTCAAACGGGGCGACCACTTTCGTCGAGTAGGCAGTTGCGTGTCGTATCCGCGGTAAGCTCGACGCGGCCCACGGTCCCTGGCAACGAGAGCAGGTTTGCTAGTAGTGTTCAATCAAAAAAGCAATGGACCTAGACCTAGATGATGAATATGTAATGCTACTGTACTTGTTTTACCGGAGACGAATGAAGAAAAAAAAGGGGAGGCGTCTCTGGATTCATCCAATTATTTCACAGCGCAAAGAAAAAGGCTTTTTTACTATATTGTGGCCACAGCTAAAACAGGACGAAGAAAAATTTTGCAATTTCACAAGAATGTCCCAGTTTTCTTTTTATGAACTTCTCACTGCTATAGAACAAGAATTAAGAAAAGAAAATACTGTTATGAGGTCTGGGTCTATTTCGTGTGCCATCCCTAAAATCTAAATGAATACAAAATTAAAAAAAAGATATTGTTTCAAAATAAATATCTTTTAATTTGAGAAGATAGCGGAATTTATAAAATCCGTGATCCAACATATTCCATCGCGTGATTCAGTACTTACGCGTGTGAATTTCGAAATAAAATGCGTCTGAATTGATACACTTCAGAACATGGCATGATGTGTCGATGCCGCATCGAGTGCCGCTGCGACGTCGCGGGGAAATCATATGTCGACTCGACTTCAAGCGGCGGGGCGCCGCGTCGAGTATCTGTGTGTTTCATTATATATAAAGTTATTTACACCATGCGTCGACTCGACCGCCGACTCGACGGTCGAGTCGACAAAAGTCGATCCGTCTGTTTTCTACCTTAGAGTTTTTCACTAACATCAATCCTGTGATTGTGCGAAAGTTGCTAAACATTCTGGTGAGTAATTTTATTAGTTGTAACACGCTATTTGACCTCTGATTTGTTAAATTTGCATTATTCTAATCTGCATTTTTTCTTTCCCTTCTATACATTTTTTTTATACTCCAGCTACCACGAAGGCCTAAGGCCTAAACACCCATTGGGTACGGTGGGGCTATAGGGGGATACAGGGGAAAGGGGGGGGGTGACGCCACACGGACTCTGGCGAGGGAACACGTGTGCATGGAACATGCGCATATTCTGGCTCCGCCTACGAGATCCGCCGGGTGGTACCTCCGCGTTCGACAGTCAGAGACCGTCCACCACCTACGGACAATCACAACATCCATAGCCAAGAGAAAAATTTCTCCTGGGACGGGACTCGAACCCGCACAGCGCACGGCGACTGATCAGGAGACCGAAGAGTCTACTACTGCGGCCACCGCTGCTGCCTGAATGTATTTGTGTACCTTACAGTGGCGGCTCGTGCCAATTCAGTGAGGTAGTGCCAGAATGGAAGCCATAATTTTGAATCGATTCAAAACTGTAAAGAATAACTTATAACTTACCCCTGATAGTTAGTGGTCAAAGTTCTTGAGGTTCAATAAATCTATATGTCCAAAAAAAAAATCAAAAATAAAACTATTTACACACGCGCACCAAATTATAAAACAAGTGTGGAGAAGTACCTATAACTTCAAAGTTTTCTATACATGAAGTCCATTCTTCTTTCTTTTTTGGTAGCAAAGTTTTCGATTACCTTATTATTAAAATTTTCAATGCCACTAACAAAATGTTTTTCTGCAGACAGCATTCCTAAAGCACTAAGCCTTTCTTCCTTCATTGTGTTTCTGAGGAAAGTTTTAATCCGTTTCAGCATTGAAAAAGAGCGTTCTGCTTCAGATGTTGACATCGGTATAGTGATTAAAATACTTAAGAGCTTAAGAGTTTCTTGAAACGTACAATTTAATCCTTCCTCGTTCAATAAAATGGATAGTGGAACAGCTCCAGAAGTAGTACTCAATTCTTCTCTCTGATATAATACTTGTAACTCAGTTTTAAGCCTGTTTTTGTCTAAAAATGAAAATTGTGTGCATGTGTCATTTAAATGTGCTTCAGGAAACTGATGTTTATAAACAGAAAACTTTTCAGACACAAATAAATTAGAAGCAACTAAATGCCCAGAAAAGTTAAATCTTGTTCTTATTTGCGATAATACTGCATCGCATATTTCTAACGCTTCCCGTTTTTTGCTGCCTTCTTCAACTTGCCTTTTTTTTCTTGCCGGTTCATCAGTTTCTCTCTGCACTCGTTCAATCTCGTCAATAATGCTATCCATTTGTTCTCGTATAGTTTGAATTGCTGCTTCAAAATTCTCTAAATCATTTTTGACCTTAACAGAATCGGTGCATACTTTTTGTAATTGGTTAAAGACAATTTCAACATGTGGCATTATTTTATGGAATATACTTAGCCAAAATACAAAATTTGTATCTTGCAGCTTTAATTTGTACCCACTGGCTTGATTAATCGACGAAGAATCGCGTGAAGTACTTTCTATATTGTCCATAACTTCAATCAGGTCTTTCCTATTTTCATAAACTGTATGAACACCTCGTGACTGAAAATTCCAACGTGTTTGGGAAGATCTTGGCAATCTGCGATTAACTATTTCATACAAAATTTTTGTTCTTTGAGGAGACGTCGAAAAAAAAGAGCACAATCCAGATAAATTATGGAAAAATATTCTAGCCTGCTTATTGACAGAGCATGCGCTTGTCATAATTAGATTTAACTGGTGTGCATAGCAATGAACATAATTTGCAAGTGGATAAGTTTCCTTAATAATCTTTTGAACGCCATTCAATTCACCACTCATAACAGACGCACCATCATAGCTTTGAGCTATTAATTTGTTTGGATTTTGATCTATTAATGGATTTACAACATTTAAAACGCATGCAGCGATTGATTTGGCATCGTGTCCGTCGGGGACGTAAAATCTCCAAAATCTCTCAACTGGTTGTCCTTTACACAAATATCTGAAAATAATAACTAACTGAAATTCACAGGCTACGTCAGTCGTTTCATCGGCAATTACTGCAACAAAAGGAGAATTTGCAATCTCCTTCTTAACTTCTTCATGATAAACATCTAGCATGCACTCAAGAAGCTCGTTTTGAGTTGTTTTTGAGGTACCCTTGAAAAGTTTGGCACTTTGAATATGGACTTTCAATTCGTTGTCTAATTCGGCGCTAAAATTCACCAGCTCCTTAAATATGCATCTGTTTTCCGAATTTTCCTTTTCATCGTGACCCCTTAAGGCTAACTCAAATGCTCCACAAAACCTTATACAATTAATAATTTTATTCAATACATATCGATTCTTATCCACTTGATTATTATGTTTAATTAGATCATTGCGATAAGCCGAATTGAGTTGAGTCCTTATATTTAATTTACCAAGAATAGAAAAGCTAAAAACATTATTCATATGGACTTTAGATTTTTCGTGGGTCTTCATTTTATCCCATATATGTATAAGATCATCTGTACCTTTTTTTGACCAAGTCTCGTCACCTCCAAATAGAACACATACAAAACAAAATAGTTTATTCGTTTCTTCACAACCACATATCCAGCTGTTTTTATCGTACACATTTTTATTAAATTTGCGACAGCGCGATTTTTGTCCGCTACCACTTTGTTTCTCAATTTTTAAATCGGGTATTGGCCGTCCTAATTCTTTAATTTGCAGTTTTTGATCCAGCGAAAAACCACTAAATGAGTTTTTTAATATCCCGATTTTATTCATTTTCACTAGTTTTAATAAAACAGTAAAAAATATGATCACAAAACAGAGCAGTTCATTAACACTAGACGTACTAAAACAAAAACGTTATTTCTCACTTTTCAGGTAAAAAAAGACCGAAATCAGCACTAGACGTAATCATAGCGAAACGACCGACCGAACAAAAACACCGCCGATATCATTTGATAACGAATTACGACTGATGTGCCTGGCACAAATTATACTTGTCTTTCGCTATTCACCTCATATAAAAATGTGTATTGTAGCGTTATCTCTGTCGCTCGTATGCGATGCTGGTAAAATTTCTCTCTTTTTATTTGGGCCGGCCCGACATTGGCACAAGTTGATGACGTCAAGGTCAAGGCATGCTTTATATCTCGTCGCGTGGTTCGGGTGCTTGCGGTGTTGTCACGTTGTCAGTGTTGTCACTTCATATAATTTATACCAAAAAAAAAATGAAAAAGCAAAAAATAAAGTAAAACATTGAAGATTGAAAAAAATATTCTTTTTGAAGAAGACAAGGTAGTGCCATGGCACCGTGGCACTACCTCACGAGCCGCCACTGGTACCTTAAGTATGATTCTTATACACCAGTACATCTAAAATATTACATGGAAAACCTCATAACTTTTGTATACAACTCCGTTTTCTGGCAGGTTGGGTATATAAAAATGTAAGCCGTACAACCTATACAATCTCTGTGCTTCTATAATTACCGTAGAGCTGCTAATGACTGCCAATAACACAACAAAAAAAAAGATGCTAATGACCAAGTTGAAAAAGCAAACCAGTCGTTTGCTTTTCATTGCATCTAACTTTTCCCGTTCAGGTAACTATCCTCTAGATTTTACTCTATGAAAGCGACTGCGCTTTATATATTATGCATCCCTTATAATTACTTGATAAGTCCGCTCCATTTCAAATTTCCATACTAATGGCGATCGCCCAGTTGGAGATGGAAAGCCTAGTATCCTGAAGGGTGAGAGTTCATGCAGCTTTATCAGCACCGATGCAGGGGTTTCCCATACCACGTCGTGCGCATGCATGCTGCTCGTATTTGGTGACGCCGCGAATAAGTGGGACAGGGATCTGTCCCATCCCACTTATCCTTGGTAATAAATGAAATCACAGTCGATAAACTAATTACAAGATCAAAAGGCATAAATAAACTTAACTGGGTTGGTAAGTTCACTATGCGAGGTGAACGATTTTAGGAGCTACGTAGAACACAAGCTAAATAGACAGCGATTAGCATTTACATTGCAACGCCAATCTTTTTCAATGTACAAATTCGGTAGTGGTCAAATAAAGTAGAAAACTATGCTGGTCAGTTAGACAAAAATCGTGAGGGCACCGCGGCTGCTAAGAGGAGCTTGAAGAAACATTGTTAATTTGTTTTATGAACTGCCTAAGGTTAGTACAACTGGGAGAAGGTTCCTCATGTAAACTCTCGATAGCCTAGGGATAATGGAGCGGTCGTATCGGCCAGTTCTGGATATACAAAGATCGAAACGGTTACGATGGGAGGCTGAAGTCAGGCGGGTCTGTCTGGCAGGCACATCGTGCGGCGGCATCATGCAGGAGAACTCTGAGGAGTGAAGCCCGTAGCGGTAGAAGATCGCCGGCGCCGCGTCAGTGCTGGAGAGTCCAGAGACTCTCCGTTAGATAAGAAAACTCGATCAGTTGGACAGCCCTCCTCTGAACAGTATCGAGCATAAATAGTGTAGCTCCCCAAACATGTGAACAGTGTTCGAGGTTAAGCCTTATCTGGACCTTGTGCAGAGTGAAGAGGTCATGTTGAGAAAAGTTCTTCTGAGCCCCGATCAAATAAAATGCCAGATCAAGTTCTCGGTGATCTGGACTCCCGCCATCTGAAATGAACACGGCCCTTTGTTAGAAAGTCAAAAGATAAAACTTAATCGAGCGCGTCAGATATACAGAGGCGATGCTAAGTGAACCCAAAAAATAATTCCCAGTATTGACGACTCAAACGTGACACAAGCTGATAACAGATAACTGGAAATACCAAAAAAACGCCATTTTCGTCGAAATATTATACATACTGTTTAGTTAGATGACCATGTCGTGCTGACTCATAACCTGGATGTTAATCTTACAATTTGAAGCTTTTTGCGAGCTTGTGACCCTCTCACTCCCTTAAGTCGCACTCGAATCGTCAGATTATTGAAAGACACTCTTTTCAGCATGTTTTTACCCACCTTGTCTTAGTCTGACGAATATTTCTATCCCGAGAGATTGTATGTGATGGAGGTACTGTAACGGATGCCAGGAATCCATCAGTTAATTTGCAGCACTCCAGATAATCCCAAAACCACGTATTTCATATTAAATTATTGAATACCAAACCTCCAGAATGAGAAATTGCATGCATCATCAAATAGATTGTTCTTTGAATCATAGATTGTGTAAACAGCGTAGTTGATATTGACTTAACTCGAAAACGCGACCAATGTGAGGATTCCGTAAATAAAAAACTTTTTAAACTGACAACGTTGATCAGCACTGTTACCATAGCCATTCCTATATGGGATAGCATTTTCGGATGTATAATGTTTCCTCTCTAATTCACATATTATATGTGCCAAACTCGTCAGAATATATATATGTATATATATATATATACATATGCACATTACTGAACAGTGAAACTACGTCTAGAAGTTTGCATCAGATCCATCAACAAACATTGGGATCAAATTTACCAACACAGCAACCTAACTCTGGATTCTTTCATCAATATCGTAGAGTACCTTTTCCAGAAGAATTATTTTACTTTTTCACAAACACATGGTTGCGCCATGGGCTCCGTGCTATCTAAAATTTTGGCAGAATATGTAATGAATGACCTGCTTGATGTTGTTATTCAAGTATTGCCATAGAATCTAATTTTCATAAAAAAGTATGTGGACGACATTATCGTTTGTCTTCCTTATGAAAGGGTGGATGATATTGTTGAAGTTTTTAACAGTTATGATCCCTACATCCAGTTCACCATCGAAAAAGAAGATGACAATCAATCTGTTCCCTTTTTGGATTCAAGATTGATTCGCACCAATGACAATATATTACTGGTAGACTGGTACAGGACACCAATTTCTTCCGGAAGGTTCCTGAACTTCAGGTCTTACCACGAACTTAAAATAAAAATAAACAAGGTGAAAGAAATGAAGAACATGGTTATAAAAATCTCTGACAGTACGTTCCATCTTTCCAACTTAAGGAAGCTTTCAGTCTTATTCATCAACAATGGCTATCCGAAGTATTTGGTTAACAGAATCTTGTTCAGCTCTCCTCCGAATATTTTGCCAATGACGAATAACAATAGTGAAAATGACAACCAGACGCCGATGAATTCTTCAACCAATGAGAATAACAGCACAACAGTGGTTGCTCCTATTTCCAGAGTTAATTATGTTGTCTTGTCATACATCAAAGAACTAACACCAAAATTGATCAGGCTGTATAATTCCTTTAATTTTCGTT